TGACCTACAGAACCTCACTGACCTACAGAACCTCACTGATCTAAAGAACCTCTATGACCTAAAGAACCTCAATGACCTACAGAACCTCACAGACCTAAAGAACGTTACAGACCTACAGAACCTCTATGACCTACAGAACCTCACTGACCTACAGAACCTCTATGACCAACAGAACCTCAATGACCTACAGAACCTCACTGACCTACATAACCTCTACAACCTACAGAACCTTGCTGACCTACAGAACATATATGACCTATAGAACCTTGCTGACCTCACTGACCTCACAGACCTACAATCCTTGACCATCAAGGATTTTAGTTCCGCAGAGGCAGAGCTTAAATGGGGGGTTCCGCAGGGGTCCGTCCTGGGTCCACTCCTATTCTCTTTATACCTGCTGCCGCTTGGTGCTATTTTCCGGAAACACAACATGCTATTCCACTTCTATGCCGATGACTGTCAAATTTACTTCCCCCTAAGACACAATGGTACATGCTCTATTTAACCGCTGCTCGACTGCCTGGCTGACATCAGGGACTGGATGGCTTTAAACTTCTTAAGTTTCAATGAAAAGAAGTCTGAAGTCATGTTGTTCCCTCCCAACGACACAATCACAAACCACTGCATCGACCTCTCCGCTCTAACCCTGTCAGAAAAACAAAGAGTCACTAATCTGGGCGTGATAATGGACCCTTCCCTGAAACTTAACAATCATGTAAACATGATCGTTAAATCATGTTTCTTCCAACTGAGGCGGCTGTCTAAACTGAAGCCCATATTGTCCAAAAAGAACCTGGAGACAGTAATACATGCATTCATTACATCTAGGCTTGATTACTGCAATTCACTCCTGTTTGGTATCAGTCAGACCTCCATTGCACGACTACAACTGGTCCAGAATGCAGCAGCCCCATTTTTAACCAGTACAGGCAAAAGACAGCACATTACACCAGTTTTGGCCTCACTGCACTGGTTACCGGTTCACTTTCGAATCCAGTTCAAAATACTCATGTATGTCTACAAATCACTGAACAGTCCCCCCCCCATCTCTCTGATCTGCTACAACCATATGTCCCACCGCGTTCCCTGAGGTCAGCGGACCAGTTGCTCCTCACAGTTCCAGGATCTCGTCTTAAGCGCAGAGCTGACAGGACCTTCTCTGTAGCAGGACCAAGACATTGGAACGAGTTACCTCTGCTTGTCAGACAGGCCCCTCCCTCTCGGTTTTCAAGTCCTGTTTAAAAACTCACTACTATTCAGTAGCTTTCAACACCAAATGATCTGTGTTTTGATCCTGTATGCTCCACACTGGTTAGTCGTCATTATCTGCATCGTTTTTATGTCTATATTCTGATTTACCTCATTTTGTATTTTGCTTTGTGTGTTACCTGTTGTTCTGTCTGTACAGCACTTTGGTTGGCCTTGTAGCTGTTTTAAGTGCTCTATAAAAATAGTGGTATGGTATGGTACAGAGTCTCGATGATATACACAACGTCAGTGACCAACAGAACCTCTATGACCTACAGAACCTCACTGACCTACAGAACCTCACAGACCTAAAAAATGTCACAGACCTACAGAACCTCTGTGACCTACAGAACCTCACTGACCTACAGAACCTCTATGACCTACAGAACTTCACTGACCTACAGAACCTCACTGACTTACTGAACCTCACTGACCTACAGAACCTGACAGACCTACAGAAATTATATGACCTACATAACCTCACTGACCTACAGAACCTCTATGACCTACAGAACCTCACTGACCTATAGA